GGCTCGACGGTGGCGGCTCGACCCGCGGCGGCGGCTCGACAGCGGCAGCGGCGGCGGCTCGACGGCGGCTGTTGCGGCAGCGGCAGGGCCGGGGCGGCAAGCGGCGGTGGCGACGGCGGCAGCGGTGGCCGGCAGTGGCGGCGGCTGCAGTTGGCAGCGGCGGCGGCTTGCACGGCAGAAGTGGCCGCTGCTGCTGCTGGGGGCCGGGAAGGGGCCGGGAGGGGCCGCGAAGGGCGGCAACAGGGCCGCTAAGGGGCCACGAGGGGCCGAGTGGGGCCGCGGACGACCGCGAAGGGCGGCGACGGGGCCGCAGCGGGCGGCGACGGGGCCGCAACGGGCGGCGTCAGGGCCGCGAAGGGGCCTCGAGGGGCCGTAAGGGGCGGCGACGGGGCCGCTGCGGGCGGCGACGGGGCCGCTGAGGGCGGCGACGGGGCCGTTGTGGACGGCGACGGGGCCGTGAGGGGCGGCGACGGGGCCGCTGCGGGCGGCGACGGGGCCGCTGAGGGCGGCAAGAGGGCCGCAATGGGCGGCGACGGGGCCGCGAGGGGGCGGCGACGGGGCCGCTGCGGGCGGCGACGGGGCCGCTGCGGGCGGCTACGGGGCCGCTGAGGGCGGCGACGGGGCCGCAAAGGGCGGCAAGAGGGCCGTAAAGGGCGGCGACTGGGCCGCTAGGGGCAGCGACGGGGGCCGCTAAGGGGACGCGAGGGGCCGTGAGAGGAGCCTCTAAGAGGGCGCGACGCGACGGGAGGGCGGCCCACGGGGCGCGCCTCGGGCAGGGGCGACTCGCGCTCCGGGCAGAAAAAAAAAAAAAAATCGAATTTTAGTGGTGGGCCCTAGGAAGCGTTCCCACTAGGGAACCTGCTCTGATAACATGTGAAAATTAGAACGAGAATGATTGACTAAGGAATGAGTGTGATACAAATATGAAACCCTAGAATTGTGTACCCCTTAGTATCTAACCCGCTACAGCCTACACAGGCTAGATCATATAAGTCTGACAATAACCTAGTGTTATTGAAGTAGAAGGCCTAACAAACATGGACTGGCAAGAATATGGTACTAACTGCATCTCTACAAACATAAGTAATGCGCTGGTCACTTTGGTCGGTATGCGCGCCTGTAGAGCAGGTACCATGTACGACTGGAATGTCTATATCTGCCAAATCACATAGATCCAATAGGTTAAAACCTGGTAAGAGGGTGGGAAATGGTATAATTTAAAGGAAATGGGAATACATATGGTATTCACTGTATTTGTACAGAGAGAACCTAACAGAGCAATCTCAGCCTGGTTCGTGCGCGCAGAAAAGTCCGGCGCCCACGTTGACGGCACTGTCTGCCGACAAATGCTAAAAAAGCGCGTGGATCCCTATAGGTGCAGGGAAAAGCATCAAATGACATGAATGTTATTGCATATATGGGTGGCCGATGATCATATACGAATACCGGAGCAATTTCAGCCTGGTTCGTGCGCACAGAAAAGATCGGCACCCGCGATGACGATAGTTTTCTGCCGACAATTGCAAAGGAAGCGCATGGATCCCTAAAGGCGTAGGGAAAAGCATCAAACGACCTGAACGTTATTGCACATTTGGGTGGCTCATGTTCAAGTACACCTACCAGAGCAATTTCAGCTTGGTTCGTGCGCACAGAAAAGTTCGACGCCTGCGATGACGGCTGTGTATGCCGACATATTCTAAGGAAGCGTTAGGCATAGGGAACAGCATCAAACGACCTGAGTGTTATTGCATATTCGGGTGGCACATGTTCAAATACACCTACCAGAGCAATTTCAGGTTTTTTTTGTGCGCACTGAAAAGTTCGGCGCCAGCGATGACAGTTGTTTGTGCCGACAAATGCTAAGGAAGCGCATGGATCCCTATAGGCGCATGGAAAAGCATCGAACAACCTGAATGTTATTGCATTTTTGGGTGGCCCATGTTCAAATACACCTACTAGAGCAATTTCAGCTTGGTTCGTGTGCACAAAAAAGTTCGGCGCCAACGATGATGGGAGTTTCAGCCGACAAATGCTAAGGAAGTGCGTGGATCCCTATAGGCGTAAGGAAAATCATCGAACGACCTGAATATTATTGCATATTCTGGTGGCCCATGTTCAAATACAACTACCGCAACAATTTCTGCTTGGTTTCGTGCGCACAGAAAAGTTCGGTGCCCGCGATGACGGTAGTTTCGCCGACAAATGCTAAGGATGACCATAGATCTCTACATGTGTACGGAAAGCATCGAACGACCTGAATGCTATTGCATCTTTGGGTCGCACATGTTCAAATACACCTACCAGAGCAATTTCAGCTTCGTTCGTGTGCACAAAAATGTTCGGCGCCTGCGATGACGGCAGTGTCTGCCGACAAATGCTAAGGAAACGCATGGATCCCTTCATGCGTAGGGAAAAGCATCGAACGACCTGAATGTTATTGCATATTTGGGTGGCAAATGTTCAAATACATATACCAGAGCAAATTTCAGCCTCGTTCGTGCGCACAAAAAAAGTTCGGCGCCAGCGATGACGGTTGTTTCTGCCGACAAATGCTGAGAAAGCGCGTGGATCCCCTATAGGAGGGAACTGCATCGAATGACCTGAATGTTATTGCATATTCGGGTGGCATATGTTCAAATACATCTACTGAAGCAACTTCAGCCAGGTTCGTGAGCACAGAAAAGTTCGGCGTCCGCGATGACGACAGTGTCTGCCGACAAATGCTCAGAAAGCGCATGAATCTCTATAGGTGTAGGGAAAAGCATCAAACGACCTGAATATTGTTGCATATTTGGGTGGCCCATGTTCAAATACAACTACGAGAGCAATTTCAGCCTGGTTCGTGCGCACATAAAAGTTCGGCGCCCGCGATGACGGCAGTTTCTGCCGACATTGCTAACGAAGCGCGTGGATCCCTACAGGGGTAGAGAAAAGCATCGAACGACCTGAATGTTATTGCATATTTGGATACACCTACCGGAGCAATTTTAGCTTGGTTCGTGCGTACAGAAAAGTTCCGGCGCTCGCGATGACGGCTGTTTCTGCCGTCAAATGCTAAAGAAGTGCATGGATCCCTATAGGCGTAGGAAAGGCATCGAACGACCTGAATGTTATTGGATACCCTGGTGGCACATGCTCAAATACACCCAGAGCAATTTCAACTTGGTTCGTGCGCACATAAAAGTTCGGCGCCAACGATGACGGCTGTTTCTGCCTACAAATTCGAAGGAAGCGCATGGATCCCTATAGGTGTAGGGAAATCATCGAACCTGCATGTTTTTTCATATTCAGGTGGCCCATGTTCAAATAAACCTACCGGAGAAATTTCAGCTTGGTTCGTGCGCACAGAAAGTTCGGCGCCAGCGATGACGGTTGTTTCTGCCGGCAAATGCTAAGGAGCGCATCAATCCCTATAGGCGTAGGGAAAGGCATCGAACGACCTGAATGTTGATGCGATCAAAAGTTGGTCGTAACGAGGATCACCTCGGGAAGTTCGCATAGAGTGTGTGGTAGTGGTGGGCCCTTGATCTCAAATCTAGAGTGAATGTAAAATGATTGAGATGATAAAAACATGCAAATACAAAGGTATAAAAAAGAGTATAGGGTACATTCCCTTATTTAAGAATAACTAGACTAGCCATGTACTCTATGGGTACCTTCCCTTATTGCAGCGAAACCCAATCGTGAGACTCCAAACGGTTACGAACTGCTCGGGCATAATCCCCCTCACTGCTGCTGCCTCAAACTGTCTGCCTTGATGGTCCAGATGCTTCGTAACCATACGCGACTCTTCGCGTCATCCCACCTCTTGCCTTCAGACTCGATATTGCGTGCTTCGCTTCCAGCGGTTAGGAATGCACAGTGTCTTTCTCAATTTACTATTCGTAACAAATCTTATGCATATTCTGGTGTCCTATGTTCAAATACACCTACCGGAGCAATTTCGGCTTGGTTCGTGCGCACAGAAAAGTTCGGTGCCAGCGATGACGGTTGTTTCTGCCAACAAATGTTAAGGAAGCGCATGGATCTATAGGCGTAGGGAAAAGCATCGAACGACCTGAATGTTATTGCATATTCGGGTGACCCATGTTCAATTACACCTACCGGAGCAATTTCAAGCCTGATTCGTGCGCACTGAAAAGTTCGGCGCCCCGCGATGACGCCAGTATCTGCCGACAAATGCTAAGGAAGTGCATGAATCCATGGATCCATTATCCATCCCCAATTTCCCTTAGGGCGGGTCCAACTTTGCACACTCCCAATTTTTTCGTTATTTTTACGTCAACACACTTGTCAAATTTGACTGTACCCTGGGCGTAGTCCTAACGTTTCCTGTCCAGTTCGGAGTGTACAGTGCGGACTTTGACGAGGTACATTAACGATGCGAGGCACAGCACCTGGGAAGGGAATTACCAAATGTTGCGAGGGTTTCCGGATCTAGGGCGACAGGGATTATATCATGGCGAAAGAGTTTTGGCGAAAAACGGGCGTTTACTGTCTGACGACTTTGACGGGAAGCGATTTGGGAGACGAACCTTCGGATGTGTTCCGCACGTCCCGGGGCACGTTTCCGAAATGAACTCATCTAAGTACAGTCTCGCGTCAAAACTGATTTTGTACATTACCGTAAAAGTTCTGTTACATGCTTAATTTTGGTAACTGAGCTGAAATTTTTCCCGTACATGTGCAAAGTTAGACCCGCCCTTACCATTCATTTGCTCATGCGAATCCAGCATCCATCCCTTAACCTGCAAGTGGCATGCCATTCCAGATATCCCAACTCAATCTCTTTACATAGATTCCAACTCAAATCACATTCACCAGACGCTAAGATTTCATACAATGGCCATTCATTGGCATAGACACTACTAAGGACATAAACACCACCACTGCCAAGCACCACCACTCCGCCATCGCCTTCGATTTCCAGCCCTCCACCTCCTCCTGCCCCACCACAAACGTCGCTTTCGCATCCCTTCCCCATCCTGCCCATCCGCTAGTCACGACTGCACGGCCAGGCGTTGCAGGTGCTCCATGAACACCTGGAGAGACACGTCATCCGTGAGAATGACCTCTCCTCCTGGCACCGTTGACGCGCTGTTGTATGTCGCTGACGGGTTCAGCTTCGCCAGCAGGAACCGGGCCTGCAATGCACATGCACATGGGTTGTGTAGAGAATAGTTTAGAATCAAATAAAAGTTCGAGCATAGTCCCAGCACGGCATTTTTCCAGGAATGGCAACGATATGCGGGGCCTGCCACACGTACACACCACCCCCCATCGCCCACCCCCCCGTCGCCCATCCTCCCATGGCCCATCGGCCATCGTGACTCCCTCTGTGCCGTCACCTGGCTGCCGTTCTGGTCGCAGTCCACGAGGCGTGGCGTGGGGAAGCGCTCCGCCATGATGGCCGCTGCATCGCTCTGCGGGGCTGCCAGTAGCTGCGCGAATGCCTGGTGGGGCAGAGGCCGGCAGGACAGACAAGGCACGCAGGCAGGGGAAGAGGACACGCAGCAGGGGAGGCGGTGATGCAAAGGTGGAGGCAGGGTGCCGTGCCAGAACACCACGAGAGTGGATAAATGGCACCGGCTTGTACAGTCACACATTGCAGAAATGGGCGCGTGGGTGACCAGATGGTTGGTCACAGCCGGTTGCGGGTGGCCTCTCACCTGGTGCTCGGGTTGGTTGTGGTAGCCAGCGTTGCGCCACTGGGCGATGGTGGAGCCGTGGAAGATGACCACTGAGAAGAAGGCGTCCAGCAGCAGGATGCGGTCCACTGCGATCGCCGCCACGTCTAGTAGCGCTGGCTCCGGTGGCGCGTTGAACGAGTAGGACGTTAGCGTGGGCTGGCGGGTAATGGGAAGTGCGCGCGGGGGGGGGTGGGTTGGGTTGGGGGGAGTAGTAAGAGAAGGTGG